TTGCAAGACTGTCTGTCAAACGGCGGATCTCAGACCGCACGCCAGACTCCCACAATGGAAACTGCACGTCCATCTGTCTCCAGAGATAGTCACGAAGCGACCGCTTCCACAGCCAGAGCCTGGGCAAGGAGCAAGCAGCCGTGTCCTTGAAAGCAGCAACAGAAATCCCTTCGATATCTGCCTTCTTCTGGTTCCAGTAGTCCTGGCACATGGCGAAGCACCAAATCATGTTGGCTGGTTTTTTGTCGCAGGAAACTGCTAGTTCGCGGAGTTTGTACACCGAATCTAGCGGATTGCTCGCCTCATTGTCCATGGCAAAGAGGATGGTCTTGATCTCTGGCACGTTCAAGACGGAGTTGTAGACCGTGCTGGCCGTCTCTATGTACTTCGGCTTGACCGGCTCTGTGCCCTCAGCAAACTTTATGGTCTCATAACGCTTGGCGAGCGCATCCTTGCTCTGACGGCCAGCTGTGGTCTCAAGGGCCTTTTTAAACTCCATGATCTCATAGATGCGCTGTAGCGTTGTGACGAACATCGTCTCTTTCTTCTTTACGATGTCCTCTCTCTTCTGCACAATGTGCTTGAAGAGAATGTCCATGTGGTTCTTGTCCTCTGCGACCTCGAAGCGCATCACGCATGACATCAGAATCTCGCCCCAACCATCCAGGATACGGCTGCCTGCCTTGCGGTCAATAGCATTTGCAACCGCCTGTCTGAGAGCTTCACGAGGTTCCGGCGGATCAATGGAGCGCAGCGCCCCGATCAGCTTGTGCGGCAGTTCTCCAGGGCTGAGGATGACGACAATGGGATCTGGCAAGGGATTTGGGTCCTCAAAGAAATGGGCCTCGAGGGCATCGATCCTCCGGGCATGCTTGGGCACTCCGGGCTGAGGCTCGTACATGAGATTCAGCCAAAATAAAGGCACCGAAGCAACGTACGGCCGGGAAGACGCCAAGGTCGCCTGTGCAGCCGACTTGTTGTAAGAAGGAACACCTGAGAAGTCCGTGGGCGCCCCAGTCAGCTTGTCGCCATAATGATCTCTGATTTTCGCATCGCAACGTGACAAGTGTGCCCAAATGTGACTGTTGGGTGACCCTGCAAATTGTGTCAAGGGGTCTGCAGCAATGGCTAGGGCGCCGGAAGCGGCTGCCTTTCCAGTCTTGGCCGCCTTGGCCGGAACCTTTGGGTCAGCCGCCTCTGGAGCCTCGCGCTTAGTCCTACCCATTGCAGCAGCAATTCAATCCTAGGATGTAGGCTGGAGAGAATCTTAACTTGCAAACAGCTCTTGCAGACACAGCTTAAGAAAAACATCAGCTCCTGGAAAATCCAAGCTTTGAAGCAACACAACTGCGCACGCGCACCTTGCCCAGTTCGGAGCTCGACGTCGAGCTCCGGAATAGGAAACCTGCGAGCGCGCTCTGCCCGTTTGGATTAGGTTTTGCGAAGCCGCAAAATTTATTACGAACGACAGCCGCGCGCGCGCACTTTCACTATTTCGGAGCTCGACAAGTGCGCGCGCGCGGCTGCTACCCAAACACGGTCTCAAGCCATTTCTGTTGTCCCTGAGGTTCTGGGATCCAGATTCTAGCCTGCTTCCTGCTTGTTCACCTTGCGTAACGTTCGCTTCAAACGCGTGTCCCTTCAACCCCTATAGTGCCTGAATCCTAAACCTTACCTTTTAAAGCCTGAAAGCGTAACATCATAACCCTTGCACCTGAATCCTAAACCCCACCTTTTAAAGCCTGAAAGCTTAACATAAGAAAAAGTCATGTAAGCCTTTAAACTCCTTTTAAAAGGTGCCTTTTAAACTCCTTAAATTATTTTGCCCTTTATATGGCGGAGGGTTTCGTCTTCAAAGCCGAAGCCGGGAAGGCGGCAAAAGGCAAGGCAAAGCTTTTGGACCAAGGATTTAACGAGGACATTAAGTACTTGGACTGAACGAAGTTGTTTAAGTAAATCCTAAACCCCCACCTTTTAAAGCCTGAAAGCTTAACATAAACCCTCAACCCTAAACCCCACCTTTTAAAGCTTGAAGGCTTAACGTAGCCCTTCATTTAGAAATTGCCGGCAAACTCCATGCAGCGTTGCACCAGTTCCCTCTAACCACTTCAAATCAGCAGGATTCTTTGATATTTGGTCAGTATTATCAGTCCAGGCTTTGAAATGCAGTGGCACCTAAGGTTCATGTGTCAAATCACGCATGTTCGCTGCCCTGGCGTCAAGAGGCCACGGCCATCCACAGTAGCATTGCGGTAGTCTTAGGGATAGATTTCAGGTCTTTGAAGGCCTGTAACTTGGTCACCTCACAGACTTTGCTCACTTAGAAGCTGGTGGGGTGGATATTGGGGTTACATACTAGAAAATAAAATAGGCCAACTTCTCCCAGCTGGAGGATGGCTCTTGGGTAGTATTTGGAAGTTTCCCAAAATTAGGGATTTTGGTTATATGATAGTTTTATGGGGTTATATTGGGATACTGGAAAATAAAATGGAAACTACTACTTAGGGTCTAGGGTTTAGGGGGCTCGTTTCCACTGTGGCAAAGAAACTTCTCAGCTCCGAGATGCTTCAAAACCCAGCTCAAGAGGGCCAGTGAGTGGCCCCTGTAACAGGGGCCATGAAATCCTTGCGGCTGGCTCATAGTATATTGAGGATATATTGGGATAATGGAAAAGAAAGTGGAAACTACTAGAGGATTTTTAGGGTTTTAAAGGCTTTAAGGGTTTTAGGGTTTAGGGGAGCCGACTTTAGCCGTAGGCCCCAGAACTGATCAAGAAGTTGTGGTCTAGGGTGCTCATTATCCATAACTAAAGCTTACGGGTATAGGGGATGAAGAGGGATTATAAATCCCTAGAGGCTTAGCCTCGTTATATCCACATACCCGAAACCTTGAACCTAAAAACCTATTTAGAATCTAGGCTTTAGGGGTTTAGGTGTTTTGGGGTTTAGGGCTTGTATTCTTGAAGGGCTGCGCTGGCGGCCTCGATGCGCAGCAGCGCGACCAACATGTGCTGAAAGCCTCGGCACCCATGGTAGTGATAGGGATTAAATACGGGTATATGTGTGTATAATATATACACCACACAGACACATGCACACACAAATGTATATATATATATATACAAGAGGCTGTATATAACCGTGGTAGTAATAGGGACTATATGTAGTGTATATATATTATATATATGTATATACATATATACATACACATGTATATAATATATGCATACACATATATATACAAATGTGTATACACATATCTTTATATGTAACCGGTTGTGTCTACCCATGGTAGTAATAAGGATTATAGAATATGTGGAAGTGTGTACAGGGTTGTTTGAGCTAGACCTACAAAGCTGTTGTAGGTTATGTATATATACGCAAGATATTATATATAGGATTGTTTGAGCTAGCCTACAAAGCTAGACTTATGATGCCAGTACCATGCTTCAACATTCATCGGAGGGATGATAGAATCCTCATGCAGCCCTATACATACATATGTATATAAATGGATGTGTGCCCTTATAACCGGCAGCGGTGCATGGATCTCTATTTGCGCTCTTGCAGCGCGACAACGCGAAGCTGAGTTGAGGGCACACGCAACATGTTCTTTGTCAAGCGCCTGGCAAAGAAGACTTAGCTGGAAACTTAGCTCCAGGTGCAGAACTTCGAAGCTGCAGGCAACGGTCGAGAGGATGAGTGCCAAATCTTGCTCTCATCTTTTTCGATGTGCCCCAGGCATGCCCGTGTGAAACTTCCTGATTCCCCAGAAAACTAGGAATTGCAGCAAGAGATCCGGCGGCATCCCATAATACTATTATTGTTGATGAGCTTACATTCCATGCACCTTTCCTCTCCTGCAATCAGCTTCCGCACGCACCTGAAGTGGTGAGTGCACGCTCTACCCTACAAAAGAATTCCTGAGCAGCTGCGGCAGTGAACTTATTCTTGATACCTGCCCAGCGCTGCTCATGCTTGTCCTGCTCCACGCAAAGAAGGATTGCCTTGTCAGCTTCTTTCGCTGCACGCTCAGAGAAGTGAGCAACATCCCGCGCCAAAGTCCACTTGCAGCCATCAAAGGAAGCCATCCTGTGCTGCAGAAGTTCTTTACACCACCTATCTCCATGGTCCAGCCCTCTCCCTTATGCGTTTTTATGGGGCCTATCGTTTAATGTAAGTTTCTGGCAGAACAGCAACTTGATGACAAAACATGTGAAGGCTTCCTCTGCGTCGTGGCTTGCGCCAGAGATGCGTGCTGCTGCACGAAACGTGTGGTCATCCAAAGCAGACGCCGTGAGGCCAGGGCCGGCTGGAAGGTCAGACACCCGCCACCCTGTGTCAGGAAATCCTCCTTGGCAATGATGCCGCCGCAGAGTCCTGCGTGCCACATGACCAGTAGGGCGCTGCCAGCAATCGAGGAGCTCACCACAAAGAGCGATGCGTCCTGGGAGGTGACTTCCGTAAACTACAGGATACCGCCGTACAGCCCTATAGGAATAATTGGAACTATATATATATATGCGCTAGGATACAGGAGCCTTGCAGGCCGAGCCGCTCCCAAGCTGGAGACCCGCAAATTTTTCCTTCGATTAGCCAAGATGATGTCGTTTCGCTGCAAGAGGTTGCGATCCTCGAAGTACACGGACCGATTCTCAATGGGCGGCGCACGAGGCGGAATTTCTCGGCGAATCTTGGCACGATGCTCGGCCAGGTATGTGCTGTCGGCCTTGCGCTTCTTCGCCAGGGCCGCTAGAACCTTCCGCAGCTCGTCATCAGATAAAGTCTGCAGGACCTCACGCCGCCCGGCCACGACTTCCTCTGCGACGCGCATGGCGCGCTTGTCCTGTTCAAGAAACATGCTGAGCTTGCTGATTTTTTTTGGTGGCAGCCCACACGGCAAAACTGAAAGGAAGTAGCAGGGGACACACAGGAGGTAGCTAACACACCGCAACCTGTAATGCGCCGCAACCACTGCACACGACTGCCCTGTTTCCTTAATTAAAGTCTACCCCAGGCCTTCACGAATTCCATCTCCTGCTCATGGCTGCGGGCCCAAAAATACTCCTGTAGATCCCCACCTGGCCTTTGCGAGCCGCGCAGGCGAAGAGTTGCGTTCTCCACTTCCTGCTTTCGCTGCCGTAGCCACCCTGCAAGGCTTTTCTTGTACTGGTCAGGCTTCTCCGGCCGTGGGCAGCCCAAGTCCCGGCGGGACGTCCGATTCCCTGCGCCAGACACTCGCACTTGACCATAGAACTGGGCCCAGACTGCCTGGGCACTGCTAAGAACCTTCTTGCGGCGCTGCTCCTCTATATCCAACACCTGGCAGGGCAATCAAGGTCAACCCACGTGAGGCATGGCAACGGGTGACAACACAAGGAAACCCGACTAAGAATGATTAGGAGTTGTGCCCAAGAGCGGCGCCTCCATTACGTCGTTCACATGCGCGATGAGCTGAAGATGGTCACTCAAGGCTTTGGCTCGACTGAACGCTTGTTCGACGCCCGAAGTGGAAACACCCGCCGCCCAGAACCGGACAAGCACCGGCAGAACAGAACCAACGTCCTGCTTGGACCAGGAGTGAGTGACATGCCTCACTGCGGCCATCCAGGCATCTGCTGCCGATAAGTTTTCCTCCTGGGCAATGCGCCGGGCAACGTGCCACAGTTTTTGCGCCTGTTCACCGGCCCTTCCATCTGCCGGAAGCTTGAATGCGTTCTGCAGGCGCCCAATGCTGGAGGAACGTACCAGGTGAGCTCCGTGCTCACTGGCTGGCTGTTGCACGGAAAAGACTCCAAACGCTTGGCTGACCTCGAAGTTCGGGAACTCGGCCGACAATGTAGCCTCGGTGAGCCGCACCCAGTTTGCCATGCGGCGCGAGCAAGCAGTCACAAGCACTGGCGATGGCCGCCGCAGATCCTTGACACGTAGCCCTCGGCCTGGAATATTCACAAGAAAGCCTCTGTCCAGGAGACGGAGCATGTGGCGTGTGAGGCCCGTGTCCAAACATGCAGGACGCTCGCCTGTGAAGAGCGCCCGAATTCTATCTCGAAAGGCAGCTAGATTGATGGGGAGTTCGGCGACCGGAAACCCCTCGTAGTCGACGAGGCGTGTCAGTTCGAGGTTTTCCACAGATGCGTCTGCCAGCATCGCGGCCTGCAAGGCCTTCTCCACACTCAACCTTTCCAGGGAGCTACTCGCCGCTTTTGACTTCTCGTCCGACCTCTCAGTCGCGATGCGGACCAGCACACGCAGCAGCGGAAAAAAGAATAGCACAATCCTAGTCAGTGGCTTCGCTGCTGATTCATATCTGTGGGGTGCGAATGCAAGATCTTTTATCTGCGCGTGGGCCTTTACCGCCGAGATCTGCGGCTCCAGCTGCTGAATTGATTCTGCGAACCACGAACGGAAAACCTGCGAATGCTGAATCATCCTCGCGGGAGAGTCAGCCGCAAAGATGAACCTCTCAGCCACCTCGTGCAGGAAGCAATCAGCCTGCCATCCTCTGCTTAGATTTCTGCGCGTTGCGTGGGGCTTGTCACGGGCGACCACACGCAGATTGGGGAAGTGCACCACATACTGATCGGTGGTCCGTTGGCCAGCCAGCATGTGCCCTGCTCGAATCTCGTCACTGGCTGAGTCACTGACAAAAGATTCAATGGATCTCTGCAAGGTGACATCTAGCTGCGCCTCATGAGGCTTCTCGTAATGGGGGGGGGCTGCAAAGGGCGTGCAGAAGGATCTGACGGCAGCCTGAGTCGCCTTGGCAACACCAACTGCATCTAAGGAAAAATCCCTTGCAAGATCCACTGTCCACATGTGTCCAGACATGTGCTCTGCTGCCGAGCTGGCCGTCATAAATCTAACAGACAACTTGCCCTTCCGTGCGTCTTGGAACAAAGTGGTTGAGAATTGCAGCGGCTGCCCATCCAAGCCTTTGCCTTCTCGCCAACACTGCCTCTTCAGAGCACGATGGGCCTCGGCAAGACACCACACCATCTTGCGGGCCTTCTTCTGGCCAGCGACCTCTGGAACGCCGTCTTTTCCAAGAACCGATCGCTGACAGTGTTGGAGAAGTTTGTTAAATTCTTCGGATGTAGGCGACGCAGTGTCTGTGACGGGAGCCCTGCCGACAGCTAGCTGGTGTTCATCACTCCCTTCATGCTTCTTCAAAGAACGAGGCTGCACTGCTGTGTAGGTGGTGATATTGCCATCGCGCCACCCGCCGCCTTGAGCGTGGCACCTTGACGCCCGGCCATGCTTTTGGCGGCACAAGCTGCAGCCAACACGCAAGGGGTCTGCATGCAGGACCTCAATCCACGGATGCTCGTCCAGGATCTGTTTCCCCTTCCGCTGCCAGTAGCATGTGGCACAGCGCTTCCCCTGACAGACGTGCGCGCTTTGCGTCATTTTTTGCCAAAATGGCTTCACAGAAAACTGACCACATGTGACATGTGCTCTCCTAGCCAAGACCCTCCCAGGGGTTTGGGGTTTAGGGTTTTGGGTTTAGGTGCGGGTACAAGCTAGGCCTTAATAACAATGGAGGCCACTTGGAGGGTCTGCCACCTGAGTGGCATACATCTTATTACAGCTGCAATGGCAGCTGAAGCCCTGAATCATAGCCCCAAAGCTTCATCTCAAGTCACCTCGATCAATCCGCCTTGGAAAAGCTCTTTGCTTGTCTGCAGGCCAGCCAAGACTACTGCAACTGCAACCAGAGGCCCCGACGCCATACTCATGCATGCGGGGGCGGGGCAGGCTTTCAGGTAGTTTGCCCTATATCAATATACTCCTGAGTTCCAGTGCTCTGAGCCTTATCAGTTTATCAGTTTACTAACGGCACCCACTACCCACTTGAAAGCTTCTCATGGGGTGACTATGATCAAGTGACAACAATTCGAGGGATTGCAGGAATGAATCCGGTCTAATCGTCAATGTTCTCCTACTGGGCCTCATTCCCCATATGGCACTTGCCCGGCCTTCAATGGATGATAGATAGCAGCGCTGCAGACCGGAGGTAGGCCTGCGAGAGCGGCGGAAATCCATGGACAAAAGGCGATCTCCCAGAAGAACAGATTCTGGGTTCTGATGCAGAAAGTCGCCTAAAGGCCCATTAGGCGACCCCCCAACAAGGCCCTCCTCTCAAGGCGCAGCGACCCGCTAGAGGCCCATTAGGCGACCCCCCACCAAGGCCCTTGTGCACTGCTACACTCCTTCAAAGCAGACACTGCCATCTCAAGTACATTGGCCCCTGGTGCAGGGGCCCTCAGAATTATGATTCTCCTTTTTTGACGCCAGTTCTTACCCGCATCCTTGGCTCTCTCTCTGGTCCTCCCTCTTATCATCCCTACCTCGGCCTGCAAGGCGCCGTGGCCCACCTTGAAGCAGACATGACCCATAAAAATGGGTCCAAAATGGGTGAGGATCTCAGGAATTCTCATTTTTGAGCCTCCTTTATTAAGCCGCCTAATAGATTCTAGTAGAAATCCATTAGGGGGCCATATATGGAGGCCCGAAAATGCTTCTGAAAACCTCAAGGCATCCTGAGGCAAAGGCGTGGGAAGTTGGATCTCAGGTTCAAAATGGGTCATGCGAGATCATTTTCCCGATGTAACCACATAATATGGAACCTTATTCCCATCATAATCCCTATTATTTT